AAAAAAAAAAAAATTTAAAAAAAAATTATAATCAAGTCCTGTGGCTAAAGGAGGAGAGGCGAGGGGGGGAATCCCAGGAATGTCAGTAGGGAACCAAAAAAAAAAAAATAATCAAGTCCTGTGGCTAAAGGAGGAGAGGCGAGGGGGGGAATCCCAGGAATGTCAGTAGGGAACCCCCCGGCCCCGGCCACCCCGCGGAGGCACTCTGCCAGGCCCTCGGAACGCCTTCCCGTAGGAAGCCGGYGCCTGGGTTGGGGCACCCCAGCCGTGCCCTGGTGCTGCCCCACTGGAACCGGCCGTTCCCGGCCCCAACTCGCCGTAACTCTGCATTTTGGCCTCTGGATGCACCAGCACGTTGTTGTTGTTGTTGCTGCTGCTGCTGCTGCTGCTGCTGCTCCCCTCGGATTTGGTGAAGGATTGCCCCAGCGAGTGGATGGTGACGGGGACTCTGGCGAAGCGCAGGTCCTGATCCCCAGGGAACTGCACCGAGCCCGTGCCCTGGTAGCTGCTGCTCTCCCCGAGGTGGCTCACGGAGCCCAAGAAGGTCCTGCTTTTCCCCAGGGGTTGGGCAGAAGGTTCTAGCAGAGTCTGGCCCGGGTTCAGCTCCTCGGCACCGAATCCCCCCTCGGAGCTGTCGGTGCTGTAAGTCCTGGAGGGCTGCGAGCGGCYGTAGTCCGGGGCTCTCGGGGCCGGYGGCTCCGGGTCCGGCTGGGCAAGGAGCTGCAGCAGCGCAGCCGTCACGGCCGGGTTCAACTCCTGGGCTGCACCGGAGAGATCCCCTTCGGGAGCGGGAGGAGGCGGCGGCGGTCCGGGGGGCTCGGGGGGTCTCTTCTCTGGTGGGACAATGCCRGGAGGACACGCTGTGGAAGGGTGACGCCTTTTAAACACCGTTTCAAACACACACAAAGACATTTTCTAAGCAAACCAAACCAAGCCCTTTTGCCGAGGCCGCCCCGCTCCGGGGATGGCTCTGGGAAGAGGCGGAGGGAGAGTGCGAACGCTGGCTGGGAGATCAACGTTCATTAACAATGTTCATTAAGGCTTTCGGCCCGGCCCCGCGMACCCAACGCCGGCAACAGCTGTCCTAACACCTGGGCACCCGCGCTGGGAATTGGCGCTGCCGGATCAAAGGCTAATTCCGAGCAGGAGGCAGATGTGGAGGCACAGCCAGCCCCGCGCTCCCCCCGGGGCCACAGGGACRCGGTTCCGCCCGGCTCCGGCTCCAGAGGCGGCTCTGGGATGCGCAGGGTGAGATAAACACAAACCCGGGTGAGACAAACACAAACCCGAGCCCACCCCGGGGTGGGTGACAGCTCCTGACTGCCCCCACGGCACCCCGAGGGCAGCGGGACACGGCTCCTGCCACCCCATCCCACCCACCTTGATAAAGAGAATCCACAACAATCTCACCCCCCGAATATTTGCACGAGCGTACACACCATCCTGAGCATGAGAAAAACCTTCTCCTTCCTCCCCCCTGCCCCTTCACCCCAATCCCCCCCCGAAAATCAGGATTTGTTTCCCTCCTGGAAGAACAAAGCTCTGCCAGCCCCGGCCCACCCTGCTCTGTCCCAGCACGAAGGAGCCTGGCTGGGAGGAGGGAGAGGGGAGCAGAGCACTGAGCCACCCCTAAGACAGTGCCACAGCCATGGGTGACACCACGGCAGGGAGGGGACACGGCTACAGGTGACACCAAGGCGGGGAGGGGACAGGACCCGCTCCCAAAACCAGCCCTGCCTCCTCTGGAGCAACACACCTGAGCTGCCTCCTGTCCCTCGCCCACGGGGTAAGGAATTACTGGCGATGGCAGAGCCCACGTTGGAATCAGATCCTCAAATCATTGGCAAAACTGGTTATTAAAAAGGTCAAACTTTATTGTGAAAACCAGTAGTCTTCCAGGACCACCCCTCCACCCGTATCCGTCAGTCCACTTTGAAAACTAGATTGTATTGAAATCCGGAAAAATAAAACAACAACAAAACGGGGAAAAAAAGGAAAAAAAAAAACCAACAATCTTCAGGTAAATTTGTAAAGCCAAGCTGATCTGGGGGACAGCAAATCATTCCAAAGAATTATCAACAGAGAACAACGGCATCGAATTCCATCTGCTCTACAGTAACCTAGTTATCTTCCAGGACTAGGGCAACAACAACGAAAAAAAAGAGGGGAAAAAAAAAAAAGGAAAAAAATAAAATAATAAAAAAAAGCACGATCACAACTGGCTCGTGGTGGGCGGGTGTTGAAGGCACGAGAACACAGCACGTTCAGCTACATTGCAGGAGGTGGGATCGGGCCAAAACAGGCTCCCCGGAGAGTCTGAGACATACTCAGGAGGCGCTTCTACAATTTGGTGAGGTCGTCACAGGCTGTTGCTAATAAAATAAAAAAAACAAAAAAAAAAAAAAAAAAAAAAAAAAGACATGGAGACATTTACACTCACCTTTGGAAAGGAAATCCGAGAGTTCACTGACACAAGCAGGGTTTTTTAAACTCTCACTATTGAGAAGCAGCAGTTTGGTTCGGCTTCAGGAGCTGCTGAGTTTTGGGGCTCAAAAATCAGCTCCGGGTAGAAGCAGGCACTTGGGGATGCCCAGGTTTTACCTACACAGCTGCCACTATCCCTCCCTTCAGCACTCACCACTAGTTCAGCTCTTTTTAAAGTCATCTCTGCAGGTTTATTTGTTTAATTTTTTTTTTAGGAGAGCTGGGAAGGGATGGAGAAAAAGAGCTGAGAAAAAACGCAGAGATGCAGCAGCATTCTGTGCAAAAAAACTCCCTGGATGTGAAAACCGATTGCTGGGGGATTTGAGGAAAAACTGACCCTCCAAACTTCCCTTTTGTTTTTGGGCAAACCCCAAAATCTCTGATGTGCAGCACTAATTTGAGGGTAAATATTTGCCTGTTTTGGCTRTTTGCAGCTGTTCCAACCTCCTGAGCAGTCCAGCACTTACCGCAGGGAGGGGGTCAGGGGCTTTTCTCAGCGTTGAAACCTGAGCTCCGAGCACATCTTACCCGCTTCCCTCCTCCCATCCCGCCTCTCCCAACACTCCAAAGTCTCATCCTTGCAGGCTGCAGCTCCCCCAGCAGCATTTGCTGGGATTTTCTCTCCTCTCCCGTCACAGGCGTTGCGTTTATTTACCTGTGCTCTCCTCGGGATGCCTCGTCGGGGTTTTCCTGGGCCCCCGCTGCTCGCTGCTCTTCTCCCCGTTGCTCTCCTCCAGGCTTATCCCAGGCTCCTGGCTCTTCATCAGCTGACTCAGCAGAACGGCCAGCACGTTCTGCATGTCTCCCTGAGCGCTGGCTGCGTCCGGAGTCCGCTGCTCCTCCGTGGGCACCTCCGCGGGCGGCTCCTCCACGGCTTCCTCGGGCGCTGCCGCCGGGGGCTCGTGGTGCTGCGCCGTGGCCTCGGTCAGCGCCGTGATGGACTGGTTGAGAGCCTCCAGCTGCTGCTGCATCTCGGGGTTGGAGTGGACGTTGAGCAGCTGGGCCATCTGCGGCACGCTCAGGTCGGTCTGGCTCTGCAGCAGGTTCAGGAGCACGGCCAGCTCGCTCTGGTTCAGCTGCTGCGTGATGTCGCCCAGGCCTGCGGGACATGCACGGGGARGGGAGGGGAGCAACACCAGGGGGGTGAGGGCATTGAATG